CAAGAAGCTTCCAAACCACAAAGGGATTTTACTAGAATGAGAAGCAATGACATACACTGAATATACTAGAAGAGAGAAAGAGGCAGTCCAAGTTCAGGAGAACTTTCAGTTCAACCGCAGCCAGATCTCTGCCAGGGCTACTGCTCAGAAATGACGCGCTAACCGTGTTAGAGGTCTGTAGTGACACAATTAAGTAAATCCTGGGCCTGAGGATCACCAGGCCAGAAGATGATTAGCTGGGGGAGGAGGGGAGGGGCCACAGTGAATTGAAAATATAATTATTCTGTCTCTTGTTTTAAACAATGAGAACGATTACCAGCACATTAGGCAGATGATCCTATTGGTTCCGCTGAAGCCATTTACAATTCTGAGCGGAAACAGCTCTTTCTGCAAAGCTAACTGGTTCCCCAACATACCAGAGCTTCCCTGCATGACCACTGCCACTCACTCTGTATGAAGCCTGCACCCACTCTGCAGTTGACATCAAGTATAGCTGAGCAAGAGGACAACACTGTGCCAGGAAATGCAACAGCCAGAGACTCTGACAGGGGCTTAGAAAAAGAAACTGTCACACCCTCCCTGCAAAGGACAGATCAAAATCTGAGTTGACAGCGCAACATCTATTCATACCCCAGACTCACACCGCTTTACTATCTTGCCACTCACTCCTTTTACAGCAATAACACCCCCTCACGGAGGGGTTAGGATGGGGAGCGGAAAAGCTCAGGACAATTCAATCCAGGCTTTGCTCCCCCCTGAAGCTCTCTGCTTCCTGGCAGTCACACACAGGACAATGTCAACTTGGATCAAAGGGAGATAGCAGGTGAGCGAAACCAAAGGCTAGCCCACTGGGCAGAGGCTGCTGTCTCCTCCCTGCTCCCTCTGCTGTCCCTGTGCAGCGGTGAACTGCACCATGAGTCATGACTGCACCAGATAAGGCAGTAGGACAGCCCTAGGGCTGGGGAGGAGAGATCCTGAGGAGCTCTGCATAATGAGGGGAAAGCCCTGGTGCCTCTGCACTGCAAAGACTTAACAAGGGGCAGGCAAGGAACTGCCTGTGACCAGGAGTCACCCCCTAGACAGCCCAGAGGTGAACTAGAAAGGGGATGAAGGATTTTAGGAAATGGGTTAAGTCAGACAGGGCAGGTGTTGCTGGATGCAAGGATTCAGGGCTGGGAGCAGAAGGAAAAGACTATACGGTTTGCTACATATGAGGCTGAAGTGCAGCACTTTGAGGAAGAACAGAGAATATATGACAGCAAACAGGAGAACCACCGGGAAGGGGGAAGCCCAGCCCGTTATAAAGCAGGTAGCAAGAGAGGGAGGTACTCTGATCTGAAAAGCATGAGAAACAGTGCCTGAAAAAAACATTCACCGGCATCACTAGCATCACCAGTTCCCCTATATAGGCACTTGCACAAAGAGCACCTTTTCTTGGAACATGTAAGATTACAGCAATATAATGAGAATTTTCTCATTTAAGGAGTTCAGTCTTCGCTGTTTGTGTAATAATTCACCTCCACCCCACTCTGCATGTGTGACCAGTTAAGAGCCAAGCTCTAAATATTAACTATTCTCAAACAAACAGGGTGTGCTAGTTCAGAACGTTCCCATTATCCTCAGCAGTTAAAAAACACAGAGGAAGTAGATAACAAAATATTGCAATGACCTTCCAGGAAACTGCTTGTTTGTACAGTTTGCACAGAAACAGCAGCAACAACTTCAAAAGACCTCACTGCAGTTTGCAGCACAGGGGGGAAAAACACTTGTGGCAGAACTACCATAACCACATTCCCATTGCAAAATGTCTTATTCAGTAATAAAGCTGTCTACAGTTTTGCATGACGTGGTAAAGTAATGAAAATTTCTATCCTGTTACTTTCTGCTTCAGGTAGGAGATAATCCACAATACTAAATGGAAAAAGGCCTTCCATTTAAGACACTAACAAAAACTCACTAGCTCTCAACTGGACTTCCAGCAGGCGTTCTACAAAATCTCCTGTTCCCTACATATCTGATTTTGCAGAGGAACACAGACAAGTGTTCAGGCACCAAACTAAGCAGCCAGATTTTCCCAGGCCATGGAGGGGGAGTTTCCCATACATCTCCCAGCCAGCGCAGAGTCCAGTGAGGTAGGGGAGGCATCCCCCACGCAGGTGCCACAAAGGATCCCCAGTGCAGACTCACCTTCCTGTTGAACTGCATTGGCCACAGCTTTTTTCACACGTCCTGATTTCACAACAGCTGGGTCTGAGTTGGCATAATCTGCCACAGTCACTGCCAGGGAGATAGGAAACTGGGTGTCAGAGAATTAGGAGTCATAGGGGAGAGGACGGAAGATGTAAGAGCTGTGATCTCCCAAGGGGACCTGCTCCATGGGAACAGAGACTTAAGCAGGAGACACACATGAGCGATGCAAGAAAGAGTGCCCCAACAGAGGTGCACAAGCCGGTTGCCAACAGTAGGCCTCTTCCTCAACCTATTGGGCTATTGAGACCAGGGGTCCACACCCCCCACAACAGACCAGCTCTCCCTCTACCTCAGCCAAAGCTCCCCATGCTCCTCTTCACACACAAAGTCAAACCTGGCTCATCCTTTAGGGCCTGGCCTTCTCCTTTGCAGACCAGGCTGCCTCACCCCCTTCATATCAGGCCAGGTCCCCCCCCCAACTCCAGATCGAGGCAACTCACTTCCCTCCTCTCCCTTCCCAGAGCCCAACCAGGCCCAGTTTACCCCCAGGGCTGGGCCGCCCCCCCCCCCCCCGGCCAAACCCAGGTGCCCTAACTCCGCAGGCGAGGCCACCTCACGTCCAGCCTCCAGATCGCGACTCGGCCCCTCCTCCCCCAGCC